TGAGACTTTGTCTCAAAAAAAAAAAAAAAAAAAAAAAAAGAATGTTTATAGCAATGTTATTCATAATGAACTGGAACAACCAAATACCCATCTCTAAATGGATATTTTAATGGTAGATTAGTTATATAATGGATCACTGGTATATAGCTCTGAAAATGTACAAAGTACAATTGTATGCAACAACTACAAAATCATATGTGGTATATTTTTCTATTTATATGAATTTTAATAGCAGGTAAAACTAATTTTCTCAGAAATGAGGACAACAGTTACCTGTTACCTTGGTTGGGGTATGGAGATAACAGCAAGTAGCTTATATATAGCATCCTAGCAGATTTCAGTAGAATGGGGCACAAAGGGTCTTCTGAGGTTCTCATAATATATATATTTTTAATTGATTTGTGCTCTGGTTCTCATAATGTGTTTCTTCTGTAAAAATTCATCAAACTTTATACTTATGATTTAAGCATTATTATATATATATATAAAAACTTAATTTTGTGTATATAATGAGGGTCTCATCATTTTGTCCAGGCAAGACTTAAACTCCTGGTCTGTCTATCTGCCTTAATCTTCCAGGTTGCTGGGACTATAGGCGAATGCAACCACACTAGGCCTATGTATTATATATTATACAAGGAATATTTACAAGAAAAAAAACACACTTAAAAGTTAAAAAAAAAAACTTGCATGTTGATGTAATATATCTAACAACAATAATGAATAATGGTGGTCCATATAGTTGTAAGCCTTTTTATATTTTACTTGAAGTTTTAAATTACATTGACTCCTCAGTAAAGTATGACTAGTTAGTTTTGTATATTGTAACCCTTAGTGCATCCACTAAAACACAATACAAAGATAGCCGAAAAGCTAGTATGTAAATTACCATGGAATACTAAACTATATCAAAGAATGGGGAAGGGACCTCACCAAAGAAAGTATACACATGGCGATAAACATATGAAAATATGCTACACATTTTATGTTATTAGGGAATTGCAAATTAAAACCAGGATAACTACTATAATGGCAAAAATCCAAAGGATTGACAACATCAAATGCTGGTGAGAATATAGAGTAGTAGCAGGAGCTGTCATTCGCTAATGGTTACAAAATGGTACAGTCACTTTGGAAGACAATTTGGCAGTTTCTTACACCACTAAATATGCTTTCCCCGTATGGTCCAGCCATTGTACTTATTGGTGTTTGCCCACATGTGCTGAAAACTTACATCTACAAAAACTTATACACAGAGGTTTATAGAAGCTTTATTCATAATTACTGAAACCTGGAAGCAACCTAGATGTCCTTCAGCAGGTGAATGGATAAATAAACTGGTACGTCCAGACAATGGAATATTATTCACACTAAAAAGAGATGAGTTATAAAGCCATGGAAAGATAGACAGGAACCTTGACTGCATATTACTAAGTGAAAAAAGCCAATCTGGAAAGGCTGTATACCATATGATTCCATATATATGATGTTCTGGAAAAGAAAAAACTGTGGTGATAGTAAAAAGATCAGTGGTTTCCAGGGGTTAGGGGAGGGAGAGGGGAGAGTTGAATAGGCAGAGCACAGATGATTTTTTGGAGAGTGAAAGTAATCTGCATGAGACTGCAACGGTGAATACATGCCTATACATCTATCTAAACCCATAGAATGTACAACATAGTCAGCCCTAATTATGTTATGGACTGTTGTTAAGAATGTATCAATATTGGTTCATCAGCTGTGCTACGTAACAAATGGACCACCATACTAATGCAAGAAGTTAACTATAGGGGAGATGGAGGGGCAGTAAACAGGTATATGTGAATGCTCTTATGTTCTGTTTATGTTTCTGTGTGCCTTAAAGTGCTTTAAAAAATAAAAGGTGGTTGGGGTGGGGGGAGAAAGACAGGAGCAAAAGAGAGAGGACAGACAAAACAAATAATAAAATGGTAGATCTAAATTCAAGCATATTAACAGTTACCAATGTAAGTACTCTAAACCTCCAACTAAAAATTGATATATTATTCAACTGGATAAAATAACAAGACCTTACTATATGTAGTCTACAAGAAACCCTCTTTAATTACAACAATATTAAAGAATTAAAAAGCAAAACCATGTAAACAATAACCAAAAGAAAGTTAGAGTGACTATTGTAATGCCAGACAAAGTATACTTCAGAGAAAATGACCGGGAATATTTCTTTCTCTTTCTTTTTTTTTTTATTGTTGGAGATTCATTGAGTGTACAGGAAATCAGGTGACTAGGGATATTTCACAATGACCAAAAGTACAACTGACAAAGAATACATAACAGTGTTAAGTATGTGTTTATCAGTAACAGATTTCCCATATACCTGCATCAAAAACTGATAAAATTAAAAGAAAAAAATGTATAAATCTATAATTACACTTGGAGACTTTATCACACCTCTCAGTAATTGTGATAGGATAAGTAGACAATTAGGAGGAATATGTAAGGCTTACACAGAACTATTAACCTGCTTGACCTAAGTGAAATTCATAGAACATCTTAGCCAACAAATGGAGAATGTATATTCATTTTAAGTGCTCGTGTAACACTTGCCAAGATAGATCATAAACTAAGCTATAAAACACACCTTAACACATTCAAGAATTCCAAAATAATAAGAAATGTTTTATTTGACCATAATGGAATTAAACTAAAAAAATCAATCAAAGAAAGATAATAATCCCCAAATATTTGGAAAATAAATAGACTTCTAAAGTTATTTAGAATTATTTAGAATGTATTAACATTAAATAGTATGAGTCAAAGAGAAAGGAAAATTTTAAAACATTTTACATGCAGTGAAATATCAAAATTTGTGCAGTGCAGCTAAAGAAGTGCTACAAGTTTAACTTATTAAGTGTTTTTATTAGAAAAGGAGATAGGTCAGTAATTTAAGCTTTCTACCTGAATAAACTACAAAAAGAATATTTTAAACTGCAAGTAAACAGAAGGAAATATTAACACACTGAAACTGAAAACAGAAAAATAGAGAAAAATTAATGAAACCAAAAAGCTGACTCTTTGAGCAGATTAGAAAATAAAGAAACCTTTACCCAGACTAATTAAGAAAAAGAGAAGGTACAAACTGCTGATTATCAGCAATGAAAGAGGAGACATCATTGTATACTCTATAGACATTATAAAGCAGGAGAATCCTACCTTAATGGATCCCCTATTGGATTATTTTTTTTCTTTTTGATTTATTTTGTTTATAGAGACAGAGTCTTGCTGTCATGCAGGTTGGAATGCAGTGGTGCAGGCATGACTCATTGTAGCCTCAAACTCCTGGGTTCAAGTGATCCTCCTATTTCTGCCTCCCAAATAGCTGAGACTAGAGGCATGTGCCACAGTGACTGGCTAATTTTTAAATTTTTTTATAAAGACAAGGTCTCACTATGTTACTCAGGTTGGTCTTGAACTCCTGGCCTCAAACTGTCCTCTTGCTTTGGCCTCCTAAAGTCCTGAATTACAGGCCTGAACCACCATGCTCAGCTCCTACTAGATGATTATTTTAAAGTTGTTCTTGGATACATGAGTTTGAATAAAAGTTATTTCATGAGATGTAAAGAAAGTGAAAAAATTATCACATACTTAAATATTCTGAAAAATTTCTGCAGTATTTACTATTGCTAAACTATCAGTTGTAAGATTATACTACCTTCCTTAGCCTTAGGATAATAATTAGCCTTCATTTAATGAGTAGAGAAATATATACAACGTACTTTTTCAGAAACAAACTTCTTTCTATGATGCCACTACTTTCCTGTATATTGCCAACATTATCAATTGTATTTATAAATCATATGTTGCCAGTTATGATGGAGAATATGGTAATTATATTCCTTTGTATTGCAGGCATCATTAAACAAGCTGATGGAGACACTTGACCAAGCAGAACCATATTTTGTAAAATGCATTCGTTCTAATGCTGAAAAGGTAAAAATGTCTTGTAAATGGGAACATGTAGTTCAATCAGTTTACTTCAAACCAGTCTTTAAATTCTCTTATGGAGAGTAAGTAGAGGCGCAGGACCATGTATCATTTTTAGACAAAAATAGTGTTTAATGAACATTTTTTCACATATATATTTTTCTAATTTTTACACTTACTTACCTGTAAGGTATTTATCTGGGTTTGATTTAGCATCATCTAGAATTTGAGAAATAAGTATCTCTTGAAGTTCCATCAGAAAAATGAGTTTTCCTTTATGAAGCTTTTGTTGCCCTACGATTAAATTTTCTTGTTTAGATATAAGCTAGCTATATTTCTTAACAAAATTGCTTAGCATTTTTCAAGTTTAGAAATTCTTGTCTCTGTAACTTAGGGGAGGATATTGTGGGTATTCTTGGTTCTTTTCTCTTTACTATGAGAGTTCCCCCTAAGTAGCTTTTCAAAATATAAGTGTAAATATTTGTCATAATAAGCATGACATATGTAAACTATGTTCACCTAGGGAAAAATAGTTTCCAGCCTGAACAGCTAAAATATAGTAGGAATTATGTTTTAACTTTTTTGATTTTTAGTAAACAGTCTGCGTCTCTGCTATTTACAAACTTTGTAACCTTGAACAAGTTATTTGATTATTCTGTGGCTTAAATATTTTCATCTGTATAGTAATATACTATAATTAAAGGACTGATCTTATACTGATTTGTGAGTACATTTAAGTTAATTCCTATGAAGTACTTAGTAAATGTTAGCTATTCATTTATCTTGACTAAGAGGGAAGCTATTTTGTTTGTAGTTAAGTAGTTGAGTTTCTGTTATTGAGGCCTTGCTATCCAAAAAGTTCAATTAATAAATTATTTTAGGGCACAGTGTACTAAATAGCTTTATTTGAGTCTTACTCTATTGTCCCAGGGTGAGTGCCATGGTGTCAGCCTCCCTTACAGCAACTTCAATAAATATGTCCTTCCTAGTAGCTGGGACTACAGGCACCCACCAGGACCCCTGATTGATTTTTCTATTTTTAGTAGAAATGAAATCTCACTTTTTCTCAGGCTAGTCTTGTACTTCTGAGCTCAAGCAAATCCTCCTGTGTTATCCTTCTAGAGAGCTGGGATTACAGGTATAAGCCACCGGGCCTGGCTAACTGTTATGTTATTTAGCACAGATTTCCTGTTTGATTTTTTTTCCTTGGCAGCTGGTATGTCCTACCTAGCTGCAGGAAATTGGCTTAGGATTGCCTTAGAGGATCATTGAAAGTGCTGTTAAGAGCAATGATTTTCAGTCAGTGTGCCACAGCATACTGGTGTACTGTGAGAGAATCTTAGGTGTGCAGCAAAGATTTGTAAAGATCATTAATTAAATTATTTTTGAAAGACATTCAAAGCGCAATTAGCATATTCTTTGACTCTTATTTTTGATCAGTATAATTTCAGTGCATCACATAAGTTTAGGTATAGGTTCAAGTGTGCCATGCGATTAAAAAAGAGTGAAAAACAACTGATTTCGAGAATAAGGAGAAATTTCAGAAGCTCCAAATGCATCTTCTATTAAATGTCTAAAAGCATGCCTACTAAGATACCAAGGAGTGATAGGGTATTGTGACTGCTACTGAGTGCCTATTTCCCATTGGCCAATGCCTATATATTAATTCTGAGTGACCACAGGAATTTCTGTTTTTTCAATGTTTTATACCAGTTTCATCAGCAAGAAGTATTTAGAGAAATAAGCTACTCCTAGCATTGTACTGGTCATTAGAAGAATGTTTCAGCTATTTGTTAACCAAGGCAACTAGTAGAGTAGTGCATATGGCTTCTTAGTGAGATTATAAATAAAAACATAATAAAATACAAAAATGCAGCGCTTGACTGTGTATAAATAGGCTAATCTTGTTACAAATTTGGTACTGATTGAACTGTGTGGCTTTTGTGGGCAACTACTTCCCTTTTGAGCTGTTAAAGTCCTCTCCCTCCACAACCAGAGAAGTCTGGAAGCTTGGTTTCTCTCTCTTCCCTGGGGCTGGGCAATCAGAACTTTTATAAAGCTACTAGAAAAATTGAGAGGTGAGCTTGTCCCATTAGTGTAGCTATATCTTAACTGCGTAACCTCCACTGAATCTCCAGATATTCAGCAGTTAGCCACACTTATAAGGCAGATACTAATTTAGATCAACACTATTCTGGGTTAACCTTTTTCCATTTATTTTAGCTTCCCTTACGATTCAGTGATGCCTTGGTACTTAGACAGCTTCGATACACTGGGATGCTGGAAACTGTTCGAATTCGCCAATCAGGATACAGCTCCAAATATTCCTTCCAGGTTTTGTTTTTATTGTGATATTTAAATATATAGACACATTAAGTAAATCATTCCCACAAATCTTGCTTATTATTTCTTTGGGGCTCAGTTGTTTCCTTTGGGGCTCACTTGTTTCACTTTCTTCCTTTTCATTCTACTTTTTGTACACAGAATTGAAAAGGAATGGAGAGTATTTACTTCCCTGGATGACAGCAACCTCATTAAGCTTATTATAACCCACCAGTACTTGTCTATACTCATTTGATGTGAATGTTTGCTAATACTGTTTATTCATGACATAACAATTCTTCCCACTGATTTATCCAGTAATTCAAATAGTTGAATCAAAATTATCAATCAAAAGAAAAGATTCTATTTGGTTTTTTCTTAATTTTCTGAGCAGAGTTTTCTTTCATAGAAAGCTGCCCCCAAGGCTTATAGGTGTTCTTACCAGCTACTGCTGCTGTGGGTATAGAAATTATATTGAAGGCATTTAGCACCTGAGCAAGCCTGCTGTTATTTGGATGGAAAGCTTCATTCTTGGTTATATCCTGTAATAGATAACACATTGATTTTTTTTTCCTGCTATCAATTTCAGGTTCTCGTTAAATAATATTTTCTTTAGTCTCCATTATACAACTTTCTCAAAATGTATAGTTAGCCTCTGCCTTTATTTTTTTCTCCCATTCCCCTGTAATAACATAATATGTTATTACAATATCTTTTTTCTTCCCCATGTTTTTCAATTTAACCCTTTATAATATTTTAAATTAATAAGCACTTTCTTGGTTTCACCCTGTTTAAAAAGATGAGAAAAATGATAAATGAAAGGATAACTAGCTTAGGATTTTGTGTACATGTACTTCTCTTGTGATTTTGCAATTCTTTTTTTCAATTTTCAGGATTTTGTGAGCCACTTCCATGTACTTCTTCCTCAAAATATTATTCCATCCAAACTTAACATTCAAGATTTCTTCAGGAAAATAAATCTTAATCCAGATAATTATCAAGTTGGAAAAACCACGGTAAATAAAACCATCCCTTGTCCAAATAGAGTGCATTTATTTTTTTAAATAATATTGACAATCTTTGTCTATGAAATTGTTTTTTTTTTTTTTAAATAGTAAATCAAATAGATTGGACCAAGGTTTTTATTTTATGATATAGTAAATGTTAATCATAGAGCTTCTGGCCATTGTGCTAGTTCTGCTTAAAAACCATCTCTCCCTAAATACTCTACGGTAGTCTCCAAATTAGCTCACCCAAAGTGACCTAATCCAACTTAATTTACTGTCCTTGATTTATTAACTACTTCCTTTTTCTGTCACCCTGTTTCTAGTTTTCATGCTAGAAACCGTAATCATTTGGCTTACTCTTCACTTGAATCCTTTTACAAACTACTGTTTCTTTTTTTCCATAAAAATGATTCTTACATCTCATACCTTTTCTCCATTACTACTGCTTTCATTTTGTTTGTATTTCTTATCTTCTCTCACCTACATTGGTCTTCTAGTAAATAGCTTGCTCCTCTGATTCCAGTCTATGTGTCATTCCATTTAATTTAGCCGTAATAAATTATAATCATTAATAAATAAATATTAATGATTTTTAATATAATTAATAGAGCTGTAATAAATTATAATCATTTTAATAAACAAAATCATTACCCTAATATAGTTACCTCTTCATGTCTGCCTCCTGGTCAATAACAACACCCTGATAACCTCCTCATTAAATTCAAACATCTTCCTTTTTTAAAAACCTCTATGGCTTCACACTATTTAATACCTTTTTAAATGAAGATTAATTTTTCCATTGTCTCCTTTTTATTCCTTTATTTTTAGTTCCAATTCTTTATGTTACTCAGGTAGGATCTTCTGTTTCTAGCCCTTATTAGTTTATTGTTCTCTTTGGGTATATAATATCTACCAGCTCTTTTTTTTTTTTTTTTGAGACAGAGCCTCAAGCTGTCCCCCTGGG